ATTTTTATTATATAAATAAAATATTATAATAAAACAATAAATATTTATTAATATTTTTTATTTTTCATTTTCAAATATTTTATATTTTTAAATATTTAATTTGTAGTATTTTTTTAGTAATTTTATCTTTTTTTTTGATTTTTTTTTAATATTTGTGTGTTTAAGGTAAAAATATTTAAATAGTATTTTTATTTTTTTTCTTTTTTTTTTTTTTTTTTTTATTTTATTTTTCTTTATGAAGGATAAAAAGATATCTATTTTTAAACTTTACAAAACTATTTTTATATTTTTAATTTTTTTATTCTTTTTTTTTTATTTAAATTAATAATAAATTTATTGAAGATTTTTATTTTAAATTAATTATTATTTGTATTAATGTCGTTATTATTATTCAAACTATTAAAAAGAAATAATAAAACTATATTTACTTAAATATACATAGATATTTTCATAAAAAATTTTTTGTTTTTTTTTTTCGGTTTTAATATATTTTAAAAAATAAAATAAATTATTTTTTTAAAAAAAAAATAAAAAATAAAAAATAAAAAATAAAAAAGTACACAAAAATTCATTTTTTTATTTATCACCCACTTATCCTTGTGTTTAGATTTGATTTATATGTTCCCAATTTTTTTTTAAATCGATTACTAATAAAAATCAAAATTTAAAATAAAAATCAAATAAATAATTATTATAAATAAATAAAATAGCAATATCAACATATATTAAAATAATATATAACATATAAACACAACACACACTGTAAGAAAAAATAAAATATTTATACTTTGTCCCGCCCACACTGCAATAATATTCACACATTCACACTTTTTATACAAATATTTTTTTTTATTTTTTATTTATTTTTTTCCCTTTTTTTTTTATTTATTTTTTTTTTTCTAAAATTTTTTTATAATTATAGCATTGTTTATTTATATATTTTAAACTGTATTAAATATTAATATTTGATATTTCTATTCTATTTTTAAAATACGATTTTTAAAAGAGATTGTATGATAATATATGACACATATAATCAAAAAGATTTAATATAATTTATTTAAAAAAAACACATGTTTTAAATAAATTGTTTATTTATTATTAGGGTACATTTTTTTTTTTTCAATATAATCATAAAAACCAATAATAATAATAATAAAAATAATAATAAAAAATTAAGAATAAAAATAACAAATTCAAAAACATACAGAATTAATAGTTACACCCATACATACAATAATAAATAAATTAATAAATAAATAAATAATCAAATAATAAATGTATAATTTTTGGGAAAGAATTAAAGCTCCACTTGTAAGTATAATTTTTATTTATTTATTTTTATTTTATTTTTTTATTTTTTTTTTAAATCATTCATTTTATTTATATTTATCAAATGGATAATATTAATACTAATAATTTTAATAATTATATTGATAAATTATTATATAAAAATAATAAGGCTGAATATAGAAAAAAAAATCCATATAAAAAAGATGACGATTCAACCGAATTACCACCTGGTACAACAATTATACCAATTCCAACAACAAGTAATATAAATGATTTGTATAGTAGTAATATTAATATACCTGGTCCAAATACAACCACCACAGTAAATAACCTTGCATCAATGGCATCAATGGCACCAGTACCATCATTACCAATTTCAATTTTAAAACAATCTCAAATGATTTCAAATATTAATACATTGGGTAGTTCTTCACCAAGAGGATTTTTTAATCAAAGTTTAGGTGGTAATACATTTACAAATCCAAATTTACATCAAAATATAGGTTTAACTGGTAATGTTGGTAATATACCTCAGACACCCTCCCATTTAATAACACCACAATCACCATCGATCAATCCAGTTACAGTATTGGGCATTAATCCTTTAGGTTCAACTACATCAATTCCTGGCCAATCATATCAGCAACCACAGCAACCAACACCAGCTCTTATACCTAATGTTATCACAGTACCAATGGAGGTTTCAGAAATTACACCAAACACACCAATTTCAATACCATCTACAAATATATCAACTACAAATCCACCATCAGGTATTGGATCAGCTGTAACATCAACTGTAGCTTCACCAAGTTTACAGCATCAACCTTATCCATCTGCACCACCATCTTCATCAGTTAGTGGCAACCAATCACCAACTATTTTTTCACCATATTTACCACAACAAAATGCAACAAATCATTTATATCCACAACTTTATTCGCAATCACCAACAGTACAGCAACAAAATCAACAATTATTACAACATTTATCAAATTTACATCAAAACCATACTAGTCAGTATCAAAACAATAGTCCAAATTTATTTTCTCATCAGCAACAGCAACAACCACAACAAAATGATTTAGTACAATTACAAAATAGTTTGGGTGAAGGTATTGAAATGAAAGAATTTAGAGCAGTACCATCTTCAATAATTTCATCACCAGGATTAAAATATTCTCAGCTTCAAAATAATAGCAATACATTATCATCAAGCCGTCATCAAAGAAATATATCAACAGAGAGTTTTCTTAAACATTCAAGAAATAGATCAACAGATCATTTTAATTATTATTTTAATCCAAATACATTGGGTCAGTCAACTATTAATGTAGATCAGCAAAATATACCTCAACAACATGAACATATTAAACCAAACTCTGAAAAATCAACAGTAATTCCAATTAACGAATTAGCAAGTAATACCAATTCATTTAATGAAACTAATTTTTCACCATTAAATACTGAAGGTGCAATGAGAATTCCTAAAATACCAAAGAAAAAATCAAGATTTAATAAAGAAAAAATGAAAAAGTTTAAAAAGAGTGTTTATCAAATTCTTTCTCCAGAGACCCAACTACCAATTCATGTTGTAGATAACGATCAAATGGAGAATACAGTTATTCCATTCCTTATGGAGCTTGGTAGAGCATTGTTAATGTCTGGTGTACCTGCACATAGATTAGAGTACGAACTCACATTAATTTCTGGTACATTTGGTATCGATGGTCACTTTTTTACAACACCAACTGGCATTTTCTTTTCTTTTGGTTCACCACATACCATTCTCTCACCATACACCCATTTCCTTAGAATTCACTCTACAGATTACAACATGAACCGTCTCATCCTTTTAGAAGAGTTGGCAGATCAAGTCATTTATGGCCATATGAATTGTGCAGACGGATTAGTTAGATTAAAAGAAATATTACGTTCAAAACCACTCTATAACAACTACTTAACAGTCATTAGTTTTATTTTATCATCTTTTGCAATTGCATTCTTTTTCAAAGCAGGTTGGGTGGAAGTTGGTGCTTGCTCTTTTGTAGGTCTTTATGTAGGTCTTTTATATGCCATCGCATCCAAATATGCCACAATCGGTAGAGTTTTAGAAGCTCTTTCTGCTTGTGGTGGTGCTATATTAGCATCTCTTTTCAATGCTTTTATTTATCCTGTACACATTTTTATGGTAACTTTGGCGGGTATTATTGCTTTGGCACCTGGACTTTCCCTAACAATCGCAGTAGCCGAGATTTCAACAAGAAATTTAATATCTGGCAATGCTCGTATGATGGGTGTATTTGCTTGTTTATTACAATTAACTTTTGGTATAGCATTAGGTACTAAAATTTCCGCTAAAATATTACCTCTTCAAATTGAGGTTAATCCAGTATCTTTACCAGCATGGACAATGTTTTTAGCGGTACCAGTTGCGGCTATCTCTTTTGCAGTTCAAATGAAAGTACATCCAAAACAAATTTGGGTTATCACATTAGCTAGTGTTTTGGGTATTTTATGTGGCAATTGGGGTAATAAATTCTTTGGGGAAGATGTAGGTTCATTCTTTGGATCATGCGCAATTTGTTTATTAGGTAATCTTTATGCTCGTTTTACAAATACATCAGCAAGTGTACCCATTTTCGTTGGTATTATTCTTTTAGTTCCTGGTTCGATGGGTATTAAGGGTTTAGTTTCAGTTTCAACAGGTGATATAACCGGTGGTTTACAATTATTTGGTGGTATGTTTATGATTGCCGCCTCTTTAACGATTGGTTTGTTGGTTGCAAATTTATTAGTAAAACCAAATAAAGCATTATAAAATAGTATTTTTTTATTTTTTTTTTTTATTTTTTTAAATAATAATAATATTTTTTTTTAATAATAATAACTTCAAATTGAATAAATTAAAAAATAAAAATATAAAATTTAAAAAGTTAAATATAAATATCTAAAACATATATAAAAATTTTGCAAAAAAAAAAAGTTTTTTGAAAAAAAAAAAAAATATTATTATATTATTTTTTTTTATAATTTATTTATTTTCATTATTAAAAAGTATTATTTAAAATAGGTAAAAATTAATTATGACCCATTTTTATAATTATACATTAGTATTATAACAACATTTAATTAGAGATTGGGTAACTGGCCATAGTAGCAACACCACATTGATTTTTAGCGTTTCTGCTCATGAAAATGTAACCATCTTGACCCCAGCTATCAGCCCATGAGTTTTTAACGATGTAGTAGTCTTTACCGTTTTCGGTACCGTAACCAACAGCTAAGACACCGTGATCTAATTGGTATGATGAACATTCTGGTTCATCATAGACACCTGATTTGTATAATTGGAAGGATTGTTGGGAAGCATCAATAGCAATAGATACTGGTTGTTTGGTAAGGGCAGCTTGTAATTCGAGTTCTGAACCTTGGGTAATTTCTTTGTAACCTGAGATGTTGGCACCAACCATTGATTTGGTGAATTTACATTTGCCTTGAACAGCATTGTATGGGTATGAGTCTTCGGTAGCAACACCGCCTTGGCTCATGATGAATTTGAAGGCATTGACCATTAAACCACCGTCACAACCATTGTTACCGAATTTGCCTGAGCAATCGACAAGATTTTGTTCAGATAAAGTGACCATGTTACCAGTTTTAATTTGATGAGCACCTTCAACTGAACCGGTAGTAGAGAATGACCAACATGAACCACATTGACCTTGATCTTTGACGTGTGAGACAGCACCTTTAGTTCTCCAATCGATTGAATCTGGACCAGTGAAGTGAATCATGTTGAAGTTGTGTTTTTCTGGAGCAACATTAACTTTAGTACCAAGGTAAATCTTTCTGTATTCTTCGTTGGTTAAATCGGCAAATTGGGTTAAACCAAGAACAGTCTTTGAGTTTTTGTTGGTGTTCCAGTTATGGATAAAGTCCATGTTATCTTTGAAAGCTTGGTATTTATTGTTGAATTCATGATGATGGTATGATCTGTCGTGTTTTTTCATCCAACCTATTAATTCATTTTTAATATTAGTATTTTTATTATTAATGCATTATCGAAATTTTTTTTTAACAAAATAATTTATTTTATTTTATTTTAAAAAAAAAAAAAGAAAATAAATAAAAAAAATAATTACCTAAGAAAGAGGTTTGATAAGTTTGGGCTGAGTAGACACTGTTTGAGGCAAAGCAAACATTGAATGAAAAAATTAAAACGATTAATAATAATAATAATCTCATTTTTCTCTGTTTAAAATTGTTGTTGTGGGTTTTTTTTTAAAAAATAAATAAATATATAAAAAAAAAAATAATTATTTATAATATTACTGTTGAAATATTATAAAATGTGAATAAAATAATGATAGTAAAAAAAAAAAACAGGCTTTTTATACTGTGAAATATAATTTTTTTTGTTTTTTAATTAAAAAAAACAAAAAATTAAACAGGCATGTCCAATACCAGGTGACATTCATAATTTTCATTTTTATCAAAATTAATTTTACTTATTTTTTTGAAAAAAATTCAACCAGATTATCGTTAATTTTTTCTACCCGAAAAAAAATTTTAAATAAAAAAAAAACAAAAAAAAAAATAATTAAATTTCTTGTTTAATTTTCTAATCTATTTTTTTCTACCAGTATTATAAAAAAAAAAATATATTTAAATAAACAAGAAAAAATATAAATGTAATTTTCTTTTTCTTTTTAGTTGAGTATTTTTTTTTTTTTGATTGAAATAATATCCAAAGAAAAGTTTTTTAATATTTCTTGTTTCGATTATATCTCTATGGTGTTCTTTTTCTCTTTATCTTTTGGAAAAAATTGATTATACCACATGTAAAGAAATATTTAAATAAATAATTAAAAATTATTTCATTATCATATAAATTTTAAATAAATAAATAAATGAGAAAAATACTGATATTGATTATTATTAATCTTTAAAAAAAAAAAAATTTCAATAATTGATTTTATCTGAAGGACCACACATTTTATCTAAACCTGATTGGTCGATAAGATATATAATTGATTGTATAATAATATTTTCATTATAATAGTTAATTAGCTTGGTGTTGTTTGTTTGTATTAAATTAAAGATAAATTCTTTAGGTAGAGGATAAATCTGCTTTTAAATAAATATTGTTCGTAACTGAATATTGAAAAATAAATTTGATCAATAGCTCTATATCATATATTTTTCTATGTATTTATTGAGTTCGTTAAAATTCCTTTGGGGTGATTCATAAACAAAATAGCACTCTGGTAGTGTAAAATTATTTGATATAGGTGAATTGGTATTGTTATAAAAAAATTATAATAATTGTTTTATTATTTTTATAAAAAAAAAGAAAACTTTATTTTTTTTTAAATATTTTTTACATAAAGAATAGATGATAAAATCTTTCTATAAATATTTTTTTTTTTTAAAAAAAAAAAGTAATAATTAAAGAAATTCTTCAATTATTAATTTAAACTGAAGCATAACTGGCCATGGTGGCAATACCGCAGTGGTTGTTGGCGTTTCTGGCCATTAAAATGTAACCTTGGTTACCCCAGGTTTCAGCCCATGAGTTTTTAACAATGTAGTAATCTTTACCTTCAAGAGTACCGTAACCAACAGCTAAAACACCGTGATTAAGTCTGTATGATGAGCAAGTGGCTTCTTGGTAAACACCTGATTTGTATAATTGGAAAGTAATTGGTGAGGCATCAATAGCAACGGCAACTGGTTGTTTTGAAATGGCAGCAGTAAGAGCAGATTCACTACCACGTGGAACATCTTTATAACCTGAAATGGCGGTACCTAACATAGTGGTATTGTAAACACATCTATTTTGGGTGGCGGTGTATGGGTAAGCTTCTTCAGTAGCAATACCATCATTGTCGATAATATATTTGAAAGCACTGGTCATTAAACCACCATCACAACCATTGTTACCATATCTACCTGAGCAATCAACAAGGTGTTGTTCTGAGAAAGTAACCATGTTACCGGTTTTAATTTGGTGAGCACCTTCAACGGCACCAGTGGTGGCAAAAGCCCAACATGAACCACAGTGACCTTGATCTTTAACGTAAGCAACAGCACCGTTTTGTCTCCAATCAATTGATGATGGGCCAGTGAATCTTTCGAAATTTAAACCGTTCATTGGAACTTGGTTAGCTCTAAGGTTAACGTTAATGCTCATACCAAGATAGGTTTTTTTGTATTCTTCGTTGGTTAAATCAGCAAATCTGTTTAAACCAAGAACAGTATCAGATTCTTTGGAGTTCCAGTTATGGATAAAGTCCATGTTATCTTTGAAGGTTTGATATTTGTCATTGAATTCATGATGATGGTAAGCTTTGTTGTGTTTTTTCATCCAACCTATATAAATTTAAAATTTTAGAATATTAATATTATTTTTTAAAATTGTTATAAAAAAATAAAAAAATAATTATATTTACCTAAGAAAGAAGTTTGATAGGTTTGAGCTGAGAATAAATTGGTAGCAGCACAGACATTGATTGATAAAATAACCAATGAAACAATTAAGAAAACAGCTAATCTCATTTTAAATGATGATTTTTATTAATATTATATTATTATTATTATTAAAGAAAATAGTAAAATATAAAGAAAAGAATTAAATAAAAGATAACAAGAATAATATAATTATTATTATTTATTTATAAAAGAAATGTTGAATGAATGAAAAAAATATTTTTTTTTTTTGTTATTTATATTTTTTTTGAATGGGTTAAAAAAAAAAAACTATGGAAAAAAATAATTATTTACTTTTACATTACATTTTCATTGGTATACATCACACTAAACCAGGTAACTTAAATATTAAGAAACATAAGATATGGTTTCTTGTTTAAATTGTAAATAATAATCTAAATTTGTTTTTATATTCTTATTTAAAAAAACAGAAAAAATAAATAAATATTCAACAGAGATTTTAAAAATAAATAAAAATAAATGATAAATTTTTTTTTTAATTTGTGCTGGTAAAAATTTCTGGCAAAACTTTTTTTTTTTTTTATTTTTTATTATTTTTTATTATTTTTTAATTTTTTTTTATTACAATTGAAATAAAATAATAATAATATTAAAATAACAAATGGAATGATAAAATATTCAATGGAACTTTACAACAAAAAATAATTTAATTGGTGATTATAAATTTTCTCTAAAGTTTTTACATGATGTAAAATTATTTTTACAACCATTTTCACAAATAAATATATAGTTGCGGGTTTGTGTATATTTTTTAGTTATAGAAAAAAAGCTTAATCTTTTTATTTTAGGTAATTAGCTAAAGTAATAATGCCCAACCATTTAATAATAATAATAAAATAAACTATGGCAGTAGGATCAAAGCAATTAGTTTACAAGAGAAATTCAATTAAACTCTGAAGAATAACTTTCATTCATCTCAGGAATAATACCATATTTCATTCATTGATGGGCGTGCAAGCTAAATGTTCCGCAATCTTTGTAATATTTATAATATTTTAAAATATAGTTAAAAAAATAAATAAATAAAAAATTATTAATCTTTAATTTATATATGCCTCCAGATTTTTGTTTTTTTTTATTCTTTTTTTAATACAGATTATAATTAATCCATATTTATTTTTAAATAATTATTTTTTTTTATGGGGAAAATTATATAAAATGTTATTTTTATTTTATAATAATAATGAAATAAAAAGAAAAAATAGGAAATATAAAAAGTATTTTTTTAATTTTAAATTATAAATTCTTTGTTTTTGTTTATTAATATTTTTTTTTTTTTGAAATTTTAAAAAAACAAATAATAATAAAATAGGCAAAAATTAATTATGGCCCATTTTATTAAATGTATATAGCGGATAATAACAACTTGTATTGGATTAGGCAGAAATTGGATAACTGGCCATAGTAGCAACACCACATTGATTTTGAGCATTTCTGCTCATGAAAATGTAACCATCTTGACCCCAAGTTGGACCCCAAGAGTTTTTAATAATATAGTAATCTTTTCCTTCGAGAGTACCGTAACCGACAGCTAAGACACCATGATCAAGGGCTTCAGAGGAACATGCTGGTTCATCATAAACACCGGATGAATATAATTGGAATGACATATGGGAAGCATCAATAGCAACAGAAACTGGTTGTTTAGCTAAAGCAGCAGTGAGTGAATCTTCTTCGCCTTGTGGAATTTCTTTATAACCAATGATATTAGCACCATTCATTGATTTAGTAAATTTACATCTTCCTTGGGCAGCAGTATATGGGTATGATGATTCGGTAGCAATACCGCCATTATCAATAATATATTCAAAAGCATTAACCATTAAACCACCTTCACAACCTTGATTACCATATTGACCAGAGCAATCAACAAGATTTTGTTCAGATAAAGAAACCATGTTACCACTTTTAATTTGATGAGCACCTTCAACAGCACCTGTAGTAGAGAATGACCAGCATGAGCCACATTGACCTTGATCCTTGACTTGTGAGACAGCACCTTTTTCTCTCCAATCAATAGAGTCTGGACCAGTGAATTTGAAAAATTTTAAACCTTTTTGTGCGGCATTGAGATTTTTCTTTACATTAACCTTGATTCCAAGATAGTGTTTTTTATACTCTTCGTTGGTTAAATCGGCAAACTTTGTTAAACCAAGAACGGTATCGGATTCTTGTGAATTCCACTTATGAATAAAATCCATATTTTCCTTGAATGCTTGGTATCTATCGGTGAACTCTTCATGTGAGTAGGCTCTATCATGCTTTCTCATCCAACCAATAAATGAGGTTTGGTAGGTCTGGGATGAGAATACATTGGCGCTACATACACTTACCGATAAAACCAATAAAGAAACTACTAAAAATAATGATAATCTCATTATATAAAAAATTATTATTGCTATTAAAAAAGTTTAAAGTTTGAAATTTATATGCTTTATATTATTATAGAGCTATTGGAAATAAAAAAAAAGATAAAGTTTGTAAAATTGTTATTATTATTTATAATTTAAAATATAAAAATTGTATTGTATTGTTATTTTGAATGAATGAATTAATAAAAAAAAAAAAAAAAAAAAAAAAGTATTTATATATTTTTTTTATAACTTTAACTTTAATTTAATTTAATTTTAAAAAATACATCCGCATACCAGGCTTTAAATTTTTTTGAATTTTTCAGTTTTTTTTTTTTAAAAAATTAATTTAAAATTAAAATTAAAATTTATTTTGGATTTTAAAATGTATTGAATTATTCCAACGAACTTTATTGTTTCTATATATATTTTAATGTTGTTTTTATCAATAATAAATGAAAAAAATAAACGATAAAATTATTTTTTGATACAAATTAAACAAGAAATTTTAAAATCTATTAGATTTGTTTAATTATCCTGGGTGTGTGACATGTCATAAATAATAAAAATTAATGTAAGTAAGTGAAAAGTTAAAGTAATTTTCTTCTTAACCATTACATTATTATTTCCAACTTTTTTTTTTTTGTTTATTAATTAAACAGAAACAGTTCAATAATTATTATTAATTTTACATTAAAAAAAAAAGGAAGAGAAATAGGAGAAGAAAGTGGAAGAGAAAAGAATAATAAATTCTTTAAATAAAAATAAAAATAAAAATAAAAATAAAAATAAAAATAAAAATAAAAATGCAAATAAAAATACAAATAAAATAAAAATTAAAATAATTTAAAAATATATAGTTTTTTTTTTTTTTTTTTTTTTTTTTTTTTTAATACATTATATTTATTAATTAACTTAGTTATTTATTTTTTATTGTTATTTCTATTGTGTGAGTTTTTATACATTTATATTAATTATATATCCATTATTTGATCATTTGATGGTTTAATCTTTTTGTAAATATGATTTTCACCAATTAAATCTAATGATAAATCAGGTGGATTAATATTTGGTAAAGAAATATCTGGAGTATTGTAAAGCTGTGGGTTTTGTTGTTGATGAAAGCTATTACTAAAATGAGTACTATGACTATGATTTGGAGGTGGAGTATTATTAATTCCATAGTTTTCAAAAAATACTAGTTTTGGATAATGTCTTTTTTTATTTAAATGGCTATTATTGTTGTTATTAATACCATCTAAAGAGGTGTTTGAGGAATGCTGAGCAGGTGGAGCTAAAATTTCGAATGGATTGGAGTGTTGTATATACATTGTTGAATTTTTTTCAAAAGGATTATTTACAGAACCGAAAGGAGGTGATGAAAAAGAGTCTACTCTAACATCTAAACTATTATCTGCTCTATTATCATTGTTTTTATTAATCTCCATATTGGCTTTGGTTTTATTTTTATCATTGCTATTATTGCCATTGTTGTTATTATTTTTGTTTTCAATTTCTTTAGTTTTATTATTATTCAAATCGAGACTACTATTTATATTGTCACCATTATTTTTATTTTTATTAAAACTACTATTATTACTATTATTATTTGTATTGGATAGTCTTTCCCTTTCTCTATTAATAAATTCTGTAATTAAAGATAAGGAGTCTATGTTGTTTGATTTAATAAAATTGAAAACACTTTCCAATCCATCTCTATAGCCCCTAATATATGATTGCTTCTTTACATTCAAACTATTCTTATATAAAAGTGTTAATTGATTCGCCGCTGAAGTAAAGGAGGAGTAAATATCAATTTCCTCCTCATCAATGTTTTTATTATTGCTATTAAAACTGTCCATTTCGGTTTTTCTTTTTTTTTTTTTTTTCTTTTTTTTTTTTATTTAAAAAAAACTAAATAAACAGTATCTATATGATATGAGTTACTATATATTACTAATAAGTGTTTTATTATTGTATTTAAATTATATTGTATATAAAAATAAATAATTTTTTTTTTTTTTTTTTTATTTAAAATTTTTTTTTTCGCTATTGAATTTAAACATATATATTATATTATTATTTTATTATTATTATTTAGTATTATAGTTTGAATATTTTACAAAAGATAAAATTATAATTATAAAGAAAAAAAAATTTAAAAAAAATAACATTAAAAAAAAAAAAAATTTTTAAAAAAAAAAAAATAAATTTAAATAAAATTTAAATTATATTAAAAAAAAAAAAAAAAAAAATTTTATACAAATTTAGATATATTTTCAAAATATAAATATTTATATATTTATATATTTTTATTATAAATTAAACAAATAAAAAATCCTTTATTATAATTTGAAATTAATTAAATTAGATATTAGTTTTTTGGTGGGGGTGGTGGTACAGGTAAAGCTTTAGATATTCTTGAGGCAGATGGCGATGATGGCCCGCTACTATTATTTCCATTATTGTTTAAAACATTTGTTGGAAGTGCAGGTAAAGGTTTATTTCTAACCATTTGTCTCCATTCATCCATTGATAAAATATCAGATGATGAAACACTGATTCCACCAATTGAGGATGATGATGATGAAAGTGGGTTGTATGAGGATTTTTCTTGATCTTGGTCTTGTTGTTGCTGTTGATGTTGTTGTTGTTGTTGTTTTTGGTTTAGAGCAATAATATATGATTGATATTCTTTTAATATGGATTGATGAGATTCGAAAGCACCTTTGATATCGTTAAATAAAGCGTTTCTTTCTTCAACAGTTTCAAGTGAGAACATTGAAATAGTTGATAAGTTTTTAAGTTCGAATGCACAATCATCTAAAATTGTATCTAAAATATAACAAAGCTCGAAGGAAATTTCACACTTTACTTTTAAAGGTGCCAATACAGTATTGTTTAAAACCCCAACCATTTTAACTTCGCAATATAAAAACAAATCATTAAATAAATAATAATAACCTTCTTTGTTTTTCTTTTTGAATATAAAACTTTGTTGATTTGTGGGTGTTGTTGAGCCCCAGCTTTGTATTGGACCTTCTCTAATAAGTTTTCTTGATGGTGACAAAATCTTTGTATTATCTCCAGACTCGGTAATTCTATTTTGAAGTTCTAACATTTTCATTAAAGAATCAAACTCTCTCTTCTTTTCATTGACTGTAAGAACAATACTTTCAATTTTACTTTGAGCATTTAATAAATTTATATATGATATTGAATCTTGTGGTGTTGATTTAATTAATTCCTGTTTTTTTTTAAAAAAAAAAAAAAAAAGTTAATATTTGAATTTAATATAAATAATTTTTAAATTATATACTTACTCTTATTAGTAGTGGATATTTACAAACTCTTTGCACAGGTTTAATTAAAAAACTATCAAATGGTAATGATCTACATTCACGTCTTGTTAAAAGGTATGCTAAATATGTACAGTTTTTGCCTTTTAATGCTGAATAGGTGGAAAGAGCTTTTTGTTGATTACTACAATAAACAAAATAAACCTTTAAGAAATCTGCCATGCTAACAAAGCCATTTGCAATAAAATCTATAAATGTAGCATTGGGTGTAGCGAATGAGTTATCGAAATTGCAAAACTTTTTATAGAGCTCTTTGTTAACGAGTAAAAGTTGCTCTACATTACTAAATAAACTATTGATTTCTTCAAGTGTTCCACCCTTGCAATCATTATCTTGAACTACCATTTCTTTCTTTAACCAAACCATAATTTCTAAATCTCTAATATAATCTGCTTCTGTGACAATAATTTCTTCAATAACACGATCTCTTTGGTCAACAGCTTGAGGCATGTTTTGTGGGAGGTCTGGTGGTGGATTTGGTGATGAAATTCTAGATGTGCCCATAACTACATGGGTAGATCCGATACTTGGAGTTGATGTTACAAATGATGAGGATGGAGATGAAGGTGACATTGATGGGGATGATGATGGTACAAACGATGATGTTGATGCTGATGTCGATTGACCCTCTTTAACCAATGATGATGAGGATGGGGTTGTAACTAATGAACCACTACTACTACCTGGGCTTTGTGAACCAACAGGTATAAATATACTTGAGGAGGCTGGTGATGATGGCGAGAATAGATTATTTTCTGATCTTTGTAATTCATTTCTTTTAATTGCCCATTTTCTAAGATGTACTTCGCCACTATTACCATTTGGTGTACCATTGTCACTTGAATTATCATCGATATGTGATTGACTTGGGCTGTCTGGAGTTGGTGATGGTGATGCAGAGTTACTTCCACTATATTGGTGGTTGCCATTTGGTGTACCAGGACTTGATATGACAAGCTCCTCATCATCCTCATCTTTTCTGCTAAATAATGAAAATATTTTTGAACTGTATTTTTCTCTATCTCTTTTATTTTTCTTTATCTTTTCGGTAGTCTGTTCAAAAGATGTCACCGGCGATGAAGAAATGGTTGCTGCTTCATCAACATCACAACTATCATCGTTATTGATATGACTGGCTGACATGATTGGTAATGAGCCTGATGAGTTTGGTAATGATGGTGGATTGTTGTTACTGTTGGTTGATGAGTTTGAATCTTTACGAGAACTGATAGTTGATGGGACTGGTGATGTATGATATTTTTCACGTTCTGCCTTTCTTCTTTCTTTCTCTTCACGTTCCAATTGTTTTTGATGTTCTTTTTCTTCACGTTCTAGCTGTTTTTGTTTTTCACGTTCTTGTTGTAAACGTTCTTTTTCTTCACGCTCTAATTGTTTTTGATGATCACGCTCTTGTTGTAAACGTTCTTTTTCTTCACGCTCTTGTTGTTTTTGTTTATCACGCTCTAATAACTTTTGTCTTTCTTTCTCTAGTCTCTCTTCTCTTTCTTTTTGTTCCTTTTCCTTTTCTTTTTCTTTTTCCAATTCAGCTTTTTTTTCAGACTTTTGTTTATTTTCACGCTCCAATTGATTTTTTTCTTTTTCTAATTGTTTTTTTGCCTCATATTCTATTTGACTCTTTTTGGCCTCTTCTCTTTCTTTTTGTATAAATTTCTCCTTATCTTGTTGAATTTTTTGCTCCAATCTTTCTAAATCTTTGTTTTTGTCACTATTTGATTTAATATTACTGGTGGGTGATGTTAACGAATGAGATGACGATGATTTGGATGATACTGATACTGACATTGATTGTGGTCTAGTAGTGATAGTTGGTGCTGGTGGTGTATGTGATGTGGTGTTGGTTGGTGTTGGTTTTTTAGTTTGAGATGAAGGATCTGGTGTTGATATTGTTTTTTTGTGGTTTATGCTTAATGTACTTTTTGATGTTGTAACTGGTGGTGCTGTATAACCTTGTAAAATTTTTGAATCTTGAATTGCTTTACTATCTAATGTCTCTCTTGATTTTGCTGCCATTTTAACAAATGATCCTTTACCTGACCATAATGGTTCTGAATCTACCACTGACAAGTTAGTGGCACTATTGGGTTTGGTAATGGATGGTGCGACTTGACTTGAAACAGTGTGTGATTTTGGTCTGGTTGTTGGTGCTGTTGTTGTAGTGGTGGTGGATGATTTTGTTGGAGATGATGTTGTAGTGGTTGTTGTTGGTTTTAGAATTGGTTTAGACGATTTTGTTGGAGATGATGCTGTAGTGGTTGTTGTTGATTTTAAAATTGATTTTGGTGTTACAGTTGAAGTTGTTGTGGTTGTTGTTGGTTTTGATGTTACAGAAGAAGTGGAAATAGTTGCTCTAGAATTGGGTGTAGCTGTTGAAGCAGCAGGTTTAATAGTTGGTGCTAAAAATGATTTTGAAGTTGTTGTTGCTGTACCACTTGATAAAGTTGGTTTAACTATTGTTGATGCAGGTCTACTTGGTGATGAGGCACCGAGTAATTTGTTACCACAACTTGTACAAAATTTTGATGATTCACCATTTGTTGATCCACATGATGAACATTTTGAACTTTTATTCATTTATTTTAATTATTTTGAATAAGTTTAATATTATATGTATAGGTGATTAAATAAATAAATAAATAAATAAATAATATATAAATAATATTACAAAAAAACTATAGTTTTATATAAACTATATTTTTAAAATATATAAAATTACAACAATAAATTATTGAATAAAATATATTATTATATATAATGATAAAAATACAATAAATAACAATTAATATGAAAAGTTTTTGTGTCTTTTTTTTTTTTTTTTTAAAAATAAAAAATTCGGTTATTCTATTTGTTTGTTGTTTATGAGAGTGTGAGTGTGGTGGAGTGTTTGGTGGGTGTGAGTTTTAATTATTTATTTTAAAATTTTATTATTATTTTGTATTTAATTATAATTGTAATCAAATATCATTTATCGAGATTATGATTATACTATTAAAAAAAATTTGGTGGGGAAAAAACAAAAAAAAAAAAAAAAAAAAATCAAAAATTTTAAAAAAAAAAAAAAATAAAATTAAAAATAAAAATTTTTACAATGGATTAACGTCAAATTATTTTAAAATAATCCAATATTGTTCATTGTATTGTTTTTAAAAGAAATAAATATAACAAAATAAGAAATCATACATGTAAATATATAAATATATAATAAATATATAAATATTTATAGTTTTAAAATAAAATATTTAAAAAAATCATTCATGAAATTTTTAAAATAAAATTAAAAAAAAAAATTTTATTTTTATTTTTTTTTTTCATTTTTTTATAATTTCATTAAATTTTTTTATTTTTTTTTTTTATTTTAACTTTATTTTTTATTTATTTTTAATTTCAGATTAATGTATATATTTGAAAATAATAATAAATAATGGAAACTATTTCGACAACAACATCATCCACAACCAATCAAAATAATGTAAATAAAAAAAAATTAAAATTACAAAAGAAAAAAGACCAAAAGAAAAGACAAAAACAACAAAAAAAAGAACAAGAACAGGAACATGAACAAAAAAAACAAAATGGGAATCATATAGCTGATGCAATTGAAAATACAAATATAGAAAATATAGAAAAAGTTAGTGCAACTGATGATTTTGTTATGGATGAAAATGATCCTGCTTACGAATTATTTTCAAAATTAGTTAAGCATTTTGATAATCCAAATGAGGTATGTATCAATAATAATAGTTTTAATTCTTATTTTTAAAAAATAATTATATTAATATTATTATTCTTTTTTATTATAAAATTTAAAATAGGATGAAAATGATCAAGAAAATGATACAGAAAAAAATGAAACCAACGAAGAAAACAATGAGGAAAATAAAGAGGAGGTTAATGAAAATTCAGATAATTCAGATAATTCAGATAGCTCAGACAATGAAAAAAACGAAAAGAAGGTTTCAAATAAAGAAAGAAAAAGACAAAGAAAATTACATTTACCAATTTTAAAACAATTAGTAGACAGACCAGATGTTGTTGAGCTACATGATGTAAATTCACCCAATCCAGGTTTTTTAATATCATTAAAATCATATAGAAATTCAATTCCAGTTCCAGCACATTGGTGTCAAAAAAAGAAATATCTTCAAGGTAAAAGAGGTTTTGTTAAACCACCATTTGAATTACCAGCATTCATTGCAGCAACAGGTATCACCAAAATTAGAGAGGCAATCTTAGAGAAAGAAAAAGAGGCAAAATCCAAACAAAAGCAAAGAGAAAGAGTTCAACCAAAGCTTCGTAGAATGGGTATCGATTATGAAGTATTGCGTGATGCATTCTTTGTTCACCAGACTAAACCAAATTTAACACAGCAAGGCGATTTGTATTATGAAGGTAAAGAATTTGAAGTAAATATGAAAAATAAAAAACCTGGTGTTCTTTCAGATGAATTAAAGCGTGCATTGGGTATGATCGAAGGATATCCCCCACCATGGTTAATTTATATGCAAACCTATGGCCCACCTCCATCCTATCCAAACCTAAAGATTCCAGGTGTCAATGCACCAATTCCCGAGGGTGCTCAATATGGTTTTCATCCAGGCGGCTGGGGTCGTCCAGTTTTAAATGAATTTGGTAAACCTCTTTACGAATCTAAAGATTCATCTCATAGTGAAATACCCATCACCAGAGAATATTGGGGAGAGTTATTACCAGAGCCTGAGGATACTTACGAAGAAGAGCAACAAGAGGAAGATGAGCAACAAGGCGATGAACAAGGCACTCAAGAAGAAGAACAATATACCCAAGATTATGAAGATTCTAATAGTGGCATCTCAAGTGTACCAAATGGTTTAGAAACTCCCGATGTTGTTAATATAAAGAAATCTAGATATGAACAACCAGCATCAGGTCAACCAAAAGAATTATATCAAGTTATTGAACAACAAAATAGATCGATGGGTGGTGGTTTAATGGAATCTTCACATCGTTATGCTATACCAAGTGTTATTAAAACTGGTGCCTCTGGCAGTGGTTCAAATAGAGTCGATATTATTAAAAGTCAAAGATCAGCTCCTGTTGAAGTTACTTTTAATCCTTCTGAAATCGAAAATGGTAATGAAATTGACGAAGAACTTTTGAAAAAGAAATATGAACAGGCTACCCAATCCCAAAATAAAAATAGACCAAAAGAAGATATTAGCGATATCATCGAGGAACAAAATAAAAAAAGAAAAAATCAACAAAAAGATGAAAAACAAAAGAAATTTAAATTTTAATAAAAGTATAGATTATAATTATTTCATTTTTTAATAACAAAAAAATTAAAAAAAAGAAAAAAGAAAATATTTTATATTTACAAATTTTTATTTTATTTATTTATTTAAACACTATTTATATTCTATTACCATATTTTCATCATCTTGATTTTCTTCATATTCCACAAAATCACCCTCTATATATTCTTCTTGATGATAAAAGTCATCCTCGTCATCGTCACCACCTCGCACACCCTGTTCATTTATAAAAAATGGGTTGTAACATGATTTAAATGATGGCGATTTATAGAGGTGACAAAACCTTTGTTTTGATTTCCAAAATAAAATCATTCTATAAGTACAAATGTGTGCCCAGCTTTCTCCCAAATAGGGTACCAATATTGATTCTCTTTTATTTGGTGATATTTTCGTTGTAACTTGATTCATAAATACTACTGCGACATTAAATCTCGTGGCAATACTCATTAGGTTTTGCGCTAAACTTAATAATAATCTTGTTCTTAGTGCCATATCCGTAAAATCTTTTCTAAATGGAAAAGTTATGCTATCTAAAATGATTAATCTTACCTATATATAAAATGAATATGTCAGTAAAGATGAATATTAAAAAGAAATTCAATATTACTTACATCTTTATTTTGTTCTAAAAATAATGGTATTTGGTGCACCAATGATATCATTTCCATATAATTGTAGACTCGGTAAAAATAAATATTATTTAAAATGGAATCCACTGTTATACTTAAGGGCTCTGATGGACCATTGATTTTTTCGAGATGGTCGTATAAATGTTGTGCCATTTCTCTAACACGTTGACAAGAGTAATTTCCTTCTGTATCTATATATATAGATTTACCTTCGATGCCACCCAATGATTTTGGAATGGATGTATTGATTGCCAGTTGAAATGCCATTTGGGTTTTACCAATACCAGGAACACCACAAAATTCGGTAAGCTTTTTTAAAGGCACCCCTCCATTTAAAATTTGATCTATTTCCTTGCAAAATGTAATGATATGTTGGTTTTCTTTGATTAATAAATCTAAAACATTGGATCCATTTTGTTGTTTTTTTAAATAATCACTATAATTTTTTATATAATCATTATAAATTTCATTATTATTGCTGCCCATATATAAATAAATTTAATATTAACTAAAAAGATATTTTTAAATAAAAAAAGAAATTTAAAAAAAAATAAATATAAAAAATAAAAAAAATAAAAAAAAAATAAAAAAAATAATTATTTCCAAAAAAAATAATTTTTCTTATTATTTAAACAAAATTTTTTTATTTGCCAGCTAAAAGGTGATTTCATATAGAGAAATAATCCTTAAAAAAAAGATTATTTAAAACATAAAAAAAAATATAATTATAATAATATAATAATTGTAAAACATAACCTTTTTTATTTATTTTTTTTTTTAATTCTTTATTATTTGTTTTTTATATTAAATATATAAGTTCGTGGTATTTTGGTGTGTGTTTGTTCATTTTTAGTTTTAATTTTTGTGTTGGTGGGGGTTTTAGTCTACAAATAACCGTTATTAGCAGCTTTTTTATTATTTTAAGCGCTCATTTTTAAATTTTTTTTTAATTAATTATTTTTTTTTTTTTTTTTTATTTTTTTTTTTTTATTTTTAAATTTTTTTTCAAAAAAACTCCAGCGATATTTACAACAAACCAACCCAAAAGAACAAATAATAATAAATAACAAGAATTATTAAGATTCTCGAATAGTAATAATTATTATATAATATATTTTTTTTTTCGTTATTTATTGTTTTTCATTTATTTTTTTTTTTGTTATTTGTTCATTCCATTTTTAATTATTTTTGGTGTGTTTTTATTTAAAAAGAAAATAATACACATTATCAATATAATATAATATATAAGTATAATAATAATAAAAGTAATCATTTGGAATAAAAGTTTGTATATATGTATAAAAAAATCATAAAAGGTAAAATAGTTTTAATACTAAAACTAAATATAATATAATTATAAAAAATACTTATAAATATTTTAATATTTTATAGATTAAAATGATAATGAACTCACCAACCAATACCCCCAATAGGGATTCAAAGATGTACGTTATAAAAAGAGATGGCCAAAAACAAAACGTAAATTTTAAATACATTTAAAAAAATTAATAGATTGAACAATATACTAAAATTTTTTTTATTTCAGGTTACATTTGATAAAATTACATCTCGTATCAGATTTTTATGTGAAATGGAACCAAGATTAAATGAAGAAATTGTTGATCCAGCAGAAGTTGCACAAAAAGTTATTTCTGGTGTTTTCCCAGGTGTTAAAACTACAGAGTTAGATAATTTAGCAGCTGAAACTGCTGCATATATGTCAACTAGACACCCAGATTATGGAGTTTTAGCTGCACGTATTAGTGTTTCAAATCTTCACAAACAAACATCAACTAGTCTCGTTGAAACCGTCAAAATCCAATATGAATATATTAATTCAAAAACCAACTTACCAGCACCATTGGTCTCTAAAGAACTCTATGATATTGTCAATGAACACGCCGAACGTCTTGAAAAAGCCATTGATTACCAACGTGATTTCGATTACGATTTCTTTGGTTTCAAAACATTAGAACGTTCATATCTTCATCGTATCAACAATAGCATCGTTGAACGTCCACAACACATGCTAATGCGTGTTTCTATCGGTATTCATGGTAACGATATCGACAATGCAATTCTTACCTACGAGAAATTAAGTCAAAAACTCTTTACACATGCCACACCAACTCTTTTCAATGCTGGTACACCATACCCACAAATGTCCTCATGCTTTTTAGTTCAAATGAAAGAGGATTCAATCGATGGTATTTATGATACCCTCAAACAATGTGCTTTAATTTCAAAATCTGCAGGTGGTATAGGTATTGCTTGCCATAAGATTCGTGCCGCTCAAAGTTATATTCGTGGTACCAATGGCACCAGTAATGGTTTGGTACCAATGCTCCGTGTTTTCAATGATACTGCTCGTTATGTAGATCAAGGTGGTGGTAAAAGAAAAGGTGCCTTTGCAGTATATCTCGAACCATGGCACTCAGATATTTTTGAATTTATTGAACTCAAAAAGAATCATGGTAAGGAAGAAATGAGAGCCAGAGATCTCTTTTACGCTCTTTGGGTCAGCGATCTTTTCATGGAAAGAGTAGAACAAAACGGAGATTGGTCACTCTTTTGTCCTAACGAAGCCCCACGTCTTGACGAAACTCACTCAGAAGAACATCGTGAACTTTATCTCAAATATGAAAATACACCAGGCCTTGCTAGACGTGTAATTAAAGCTCAAGAACTTTGGTTTGCAATCATGGAGTCTCAAGTTGAAACTGGTACACCATTTATTCTCTATAAAGATTCTTGTAATTCTAAATCCAATCAAAAGAATCTTGGTACTATTAGCAGCAGTAATCTTTGTACCGAAATTATTCAATACACATCCCCAGATGAGATTGCTGTATGTAATCTCGCATCCATTGCCTTACCAAAATTCATTCGTAGAAAAGAAGGTTCAACCAATCCAAAAGAAAAAGAATTTGATCATCAAAAACTTTATGAAATCACTAAAATTGTTACCAAGAATCTTAACAAAATTATTGATCGTAACTACTATCCAGTTCAAGAAGCCAAAACCTCTAATTTAAGACATCGTCCAATTGGTATTGGTATTCAAGGTCTTGCTGATGTTTTCATTCAACTTCGTATGCCATTTGATGGTACCGCTGCCGCAAAATTAAACATTGAAATTGCAGAAACTATTTATTTTGCTGCCCTTACAGCATCACACGAGTTATCTCTTATTGAAGGTCCATATGAAACATTTAAAGGTTCACCAGCCAGCCAAGGTATTCTCCAATACGATTTCTGGAATGTTACACCAACAAATCGTTGGAACTGGACTGATCTCAAAGATAAAATTGTTAATAAAGGTGGTCTTCGTAACTCACTTTTAATAGCACCAATGCCAACTGCATCAACTTCACAAATTTTAGGTAACAACGAATGCTTTGAACCATATACCAGTAACATTTACAGTCGTCGTGTTTTAGCTGGTGAATTTACTATTGTCAATAAACAACTTCTCGAAGATCTCATGGAGTTAGGAATTTGGTCACCAGAATTAAAGAATCAAATCGTTCTCAACCGTGGTTCAATTCAAAGTATCCCATCCATTCCAGATGATCTTAAAGAACTTTACAAAACAGTTTGGGAAATTAGACAAAGAACATTAATTGATATGGCTGCTGATCGTGGTGCTTTTATTGATCAAAGTCAAAGTTTCAATGTTTTTATTGCTGAACCAACTTTTGCTAAACTTACATCAATGCATTTCTACTCTTGGAAAAAAGGTCTCAAAACTGGTATGTACTATCTCCGTACTCGTCCAGCTGCTGATGCTATTCAATTCACTGTTGACCCAACAGTTCAACAAACTCCAAAACCAGTTGAAAAGGATCAAACCCCACTCAAAACCCCAACAAATAAAACTCCAAGTTCACTTAATCGTTCAACTAATTCCCCAACAAACGCTACCAGTCCAATTCCATTATCATTTAGACCAGCTCAACAAGAAGAGGATATTTCAAATTATGAAGGTATGGTTTGTCGTCGTGAAGAAGGTTGTTTAGTTTGTGGTAGTTAAAGAATCATTAATATTATTTTATTAATAATAATAATCCATATTAATCTATTTAATATATTTGTAAATTAACGATTTTTAAAAAAAAAAAAAAAAAAAAAAAAATGGAAAAAAAAAAAAAAAAAAAAAACATCTCCATTATTTTAATGCTGAATGCAGTAAATTGCGATTTTAGAACAAAATAATAAAATAATTTTTTTTAAAAAAAAAAAAACCAATAATAGACATTTATTTTTTTGTTTTAATATTATTTTTAATTTTTAATATTTTTATATTTTTATTTTTTTTTTTAAATTTTTTTTATATTTATTTTAAATGAAAGGGGTACTCTTCAATATGATAGGGTGGTTGTTGTTTTTTTAAAATATTTTTATCTCATGTGTTTTTGTTACTATTAAAAAAAATTGTTATTAAAATCCACTCTCATAAATTGTTTTTTTTTAACTTAAATATAAAAGTAAGATTAACTAACTTATATATACATTTATTTATATTTATTTGCTAATAAAAAAAAATAATAAAATTTCATTTTTTTATATTTTTATATAACCATAGAAAAAATAAATTATTATTAGTTGTTACTCAAATCAAATAACAATAGTAATAATAATAGTTGTAGTAATAATAATAATAATAACAATAATAATAAAATAATAATAATTATAAAATTAATAAAATAATAATAAAATTTTTTTTTTTTTTTTAAAAAATTAAATTTAAAATTTTTTAAATTAAATTTTATTACTTTTTTTTTTTTTTATAATTAATAATAATAAAATTTTCTATAAAATAAATAAATAAATAAATAAACAAATAAATAAAGCATTATTTCATTATAATACTTTAATGATTTTTTATTTTAAATTATTTCATATTTAAATTCATTATTTGGTAAAAAAAACAAAATTTAGAAAATAAAAAATAAATAATTAAAAACAGAATGACTAATTTACCTTAAATAAACTTTCTATTTTTATAGTTCTTACAAAAAATGAGTAACTTTGTATGGTTACAAGATTATTGTATAGGGGAAAAGATTCAAGAAGAAAAAGTTTTTTCAATATATAGAGCATCATTAACTAATAACAGCTATATATTTCCTTTACCTTCAACAACTTTTAACAATTCTTTAATTAGCTCAACACCTATAATTTATGAAAACTCAGTTGTAAATAAAAATTATACATTAAATAATGAAAACAGTTATTTAAATATAAACAATAGTAATAATGAAATTATAAACATAAATAATAATAATAATAATTATAATAATAATAATAATAATAATAATAATAATAATAATAATAATAATAATAATAATAATATTAATATAAAGGAAAACAGTATTTTAAACAGCAATAGTTTCAGCGATACAGATTTGTCATATAAATCTAAAACCATAAAGTTTTTTAATAGCGAAAATGAACAGCAACAAGCAACAAATAAAAGAGTATCTACTAAATTTATCCAACAGCAGTCTTTTACTTCTCCATCAATAGCAACATCAACAATTAATATTAATCCATTGACAAATAATATCATATCACCCAATAATAATGGTTTAAATAATATTAATAATAATCCTTCACTAAATATAATAAATAACATTGATATGGATTTAGTATCACCCCCACCATTGGGTTCACTCTCACCCCTAGGGTTTAAACAATCCCAAATATTAGGCAGAAAACCAACAGAATTTGTGCTTAATAATAATTTTGTTTTATTAAAAATCCTAAACTATAAATATCCACCAGTCGAATTGATTACAATATTTCAAAGAGAATATTTTATTTTATCATATTTATCAGAATTTGATGGGATACTAAAGTTAATCAGAACTCAAAGCGAATATGGAAATATAGTAGCTTTAATATTTGAAGAAGCAGGTTTTAAATCACTAACAGCATATTATAATTTATCATCTTTAAACTCTCAATCTTTTATACATTCATCATCAACTTCACCTTCGATCAAAAGTACCATACACGATATTTCGAAACCTTTTAATCTAAATTCATCAAATTCATCAAATTCTAATAGTACCACTCAAACACCAAACCAAGCTTCAACTCAACCACCACAACAATTAAATCCCTCTTGTTCACCTTTGATAATAACCTCACAACCATCTCTCCTAAACAGCTTAAATAATATTGTAAATAATAATAATCCAACTTCCTCTAATTCTATTAATATGAATATTGATGGAAGTAATGTAAATAATATTGTAAATAGTCAAAATAATACATTAAATACAACAACAACAATAAATAATATCAACAATAATAATTATATGCCATCATCTCCAATTTTAGGGTCAAATAAAATTAATAATAAAAGAAGAGCATCGCTTACACCTACGACAACACCACTATCAGCAAGCCCAATTTTATATAATACAAAAAAATTTGGGGATATTGATACAAATACTTTTTTAAATATAGCAATTCAAATAGCAACTATATTGGAGACAATTCATAGTAAAGGGTGTATTCACAGAGATATTAGACCATCAAATATATATTTAAACACATCATGTAAAGTAAAGTTGGCAAATTTTCAGTTTTCAATTCTAAAAAAATCATCAAGTTTTTTTAAAAATTTAAATTCCAATAACAATTCCAATTTTAATGATCAAGATTCCGACAGTTTTCATAATGGTAATTTCAATGATGATTCATGTAGCCATTCAATGAGTAGTGGTGTGGGAGAAGGTTATGAAGATAATTTATTCAATAATAATTTTAATTATGATGACGAATCAATTTGCCAATTATTTAAAAATCCACCCGATTTATCAAGATTTAGCACATCAACATTTTATTATATTTCACCAGAAGATACAGGTAGAACCCAGCATTCAGTTGATGAAAGATCAGACTTATATTCATTAGGTATCACTTTTTTTGAATTGTTAACAGGTAGAGTTCCATTTCAAAGTACAGATCTTTCAGAATTAATACATTCCCACTTGGCCAAAAAACCACCCAACGTAAGTGATTTAAACTCAAATACACCATTAATATTATCAAAAATTGTAAATAAGTTACTCCAAAAGTCACCAGATGATAGGTACAATTCATCTTATGGTTTAAAAAAAGATTTGGAAATGGTGAAGCTTCAGTTAAGTTTGGATAATCAAAGAAATATAGATTTTCAATTGGGAACTTTTGACATTATAAACAGACCAATTATTTCAAATGAATTATATTCAAGGAAAAAAGAGTTGAATATAATTGTAAGAATTTAAAATATAGTGTTTATTAAAAATTTTTTTTATTAATTCTTTTTTTTTTTTTTTAAAATAGCTATCAACTATAAAAAAGGTTTCAAAAGGTGGAAAGGAGTTTATTATTGTTTCAGGTTTATCAGGTGTCGGAAAAACGAGTTTAATCAATGCATCATGTAAAAAATCAATCGTTAAAATCAGATTTATTCAAGGAAAATTTGATCAATATAACAAAAGTCCATATAGCGCAATTATAGAAGCATTATCCCAACTAGTAAATTTAATTTTAGCATCAAGTCCATTGGAATTAGAATTCTATAAAGATAGGCTTCTGAGAGCATTGGGTCCAAATATTGGCGTAATATCCGACGTTATACCTAAATTAGAATTAATAGTAGGCCCACATAATAAACCATTACCTTTACCATCTTCAGAGTCACAAAATAGATTTGATCTCGCATTTAAAGATTTTCTTAGAGTTTTTGCAGAGGAGGGACAACCTTTAGTTATTTTTTTAGATGATTTCCAAAGAGCTGATCCATCAAGTTATCGTTTAATTAAATTATTAATGGAGAATAATTCAAACAATAACAATAGTATTTCATCGAGTACTGGCGTTAGTAATTCTAATAACACTAATAATGGATATAGTCAAAAAGGTTTAAACTATTTATTAGTTATTGGAGCATTCAGAGAAAATGAAGTAAATGAATTAAATCAACAAGATTTTCAAGATTTATCATCGATATCAACAAAAATTGTATTAAAAAAACTGGAATTAAAAGATGTAAACCTAATGGTGTCCTCAACACTTCACACTTTACCACACGAAACCATTTCCTTATCCCAGGTTGTTTTATCCAAAACTCATGGTAATCCATTTTTTATAATTCAATTTTTAAAAACGCTGTTTAATGAAAATTTGGTTTTCTTTTCAACACAAGAAGAAAAATGGGTATGGGATATAGAAAAAATTCAAAAAAGAGAATTTACTGATAATGTTGTAGAGTTTATGGTAGAGACCTTAAAACAACTGGATCCAAAAGCTCAAAAGGTACTACATTTAGCATCATGTATAGGTAATTCAGTAGATTTAGAAATGTTAGCATCCGTTGCAGAGCTATCACAAGAAGAAACATTAAAAATTTTAACACCAATTTTATCCAGAGATTTAATTGTGAATGTACACGATAAACGATATAATTTTGTTCACGATAGGGTTCAACAAGCAGCATTTTCTTTAGTCGTTTTAAGGGAAGAAAAAAAACAAATTCATTTAAAAATTGGTAGAATATTATATAAAAACTATTTAAATAAGCAAACCAATCAACCAATTCTACAACTCAACAACCATCACAATCATAGTTCTCAACCATCAACCATTATTACCATTTTTGATATTTTAAACCAGTATAATTTTGGTATAGATTTAATAGATACATTAGAAGAGAGGTTGAAACTGTCACTACTAAACTATGAAGCTGGGAAAAAGGCTAAATCTTCAACTGCTTACAACTATGCCAACCAATATTTTCAAATTGCTTTAAATTTATTTCCAGACTTAGAAGAAACATGGTCAGAACACTATCAATTATTATTTAATATATTTTTAGAAAAATCTCAAAGTGAATTTATGGTTGGAAATTTCGAAGAATCAGATAGATTAATTGAAGAAGCTTTAATCCATGCTCAAATGGATGAGCATATTGGACAAGTAACTGCATTGCGTGTTAAACAATATACCCTATTAACAAGATTCGATGACTGTTTGGCCATGAGTGTAGAGTTTCTCAAAAGCCAAGGTGTTTTAATCGATCCAAATGTCACAGTTGATGAGTTAAGAAAAGACTACGAGGCATTTAAAGAAAAACTAGGGGACGAGTCATTATCAACAGTAATGAATAGACTACATCAAAATATTAAACCTACACCGGTGGTAGAAAGTTGTATTCAATTAATGAGCATAATGATACCATCATTATTTTTAAACAATATGGAAATATTATCATCTCTATTAATGAAATTTGCAGAGTACACTTTAGAGAATGGGATATCAAGTTGGAGCAGTACAGGATTTGCAATGTTTGGGTTGGTAGTATCCATTGGTTATTTTGACGATTTTAAATTGGGGTATCAATTTGGTAAATATGCTATGTCATTAAAAGAAGAATTCTCAGAACAAGTTGGGAGTAAGGGTATGGTAACTCTCTTATATTCCGGTTACATTCACCATTTAGAAAATCATCTATCAACAAGCATACCCATTTGTAAACAAGCTTTTTTAGAATCTATTGAATGTGGTGATTTAGGTTGTGCATGTTATTGTAGTGTAAATCTAATATTACATAGGCTATTAATTGGGAGTCCTTTAGAGGAAACTTTTCAACTTTCAAAACAATATTCAAATTATATAGAACAATATTATTTTAAACCAATGTATCAAGTTGTAATTTCACTTCAAAATTTTATTTTAGAGTTAATGGGTACCGATATTATTTCGGAACAACAATCCTCAACATTTTTATTTAACAGTGAATGGGATATAGATGCATTCGAATTTGAATTAGATTCAACACCAGATGTGCATTGCCCAATAGCATTCTATTATATTATGAAGATTCAACATTGTTATTATTTTTCAGATTTTGAAACCGCTTGGAAATCAGTTCTCAGAACTGAACAATCAATAGTTGGAATTTTTGGTCACACTCATTTATTGGCCGTACTTTATTTATTTAAATGCCTAACTATTTTCGCATTATACCCAACACTCACCCAAGAAGAGAGAAATGATCGTATGGAAATGGTTAATGTATATAGAGCTAAATTAGAAGGTTTAGCAAATCAGAGTTGGGAAAATTTTGGTTCTCATCTTATGATATTGCGTGCAGAGCTTGAAAGATTAAACGGTAATTATGAAGAAGCAATGGAGTATTACAGCGAAGCCATTGTTTTAGCACAACAGTTCAAGTATCAACAAAATGAAGCATTAGCAAATGAATTGGCATCGAGAATGTATATACAAATTAAAAAATTTGCTGTTGCAAAGGCCTATTTAATCGAAGCCCATATGTGTTATAGAAGCTGGGGAGCGTTAAGGAAATCTAATCTTTTAGAACTAGAGTTCCCACATATATTATGTCAAACAACTGGTACTTTAATGAATCCAACAAAAAGAGTTAAAAGAATAGAGTCATTATTTTCAACAAACTATGTTTCATTTAATAATAGCAATAATAAAGAAACAAGTTCTATTTCAAATGTAAATAACAATATTAGCAATTCATCTTCATGTCTATCCTCATCCTCCTCATCTTCATTATATTCCTCATCCTCATCCTCGTTACAAACTACAATTTTACCATCATCACCATTAAATAAAAATTCAATTCCACCCCCAATAACAACTCCATTTACTTCATCATCAAATATTTCAAATAGTTTAGGTATGAGTAGTATGAAAACCAGTGTAAATAGTGTAATTAGATCAAATAGTACCGGAAGCAGTGGAACCTGCTCAAGTTCAAGTAGTTCTTGCTCTAGTAATACCAATAGCTCATGCAGTAGTAATGGATTATATTTTGGAAATTTAATAGGTAATAGCAATAATAGTAACGAACCAAGCTTATCAATTAGAAGAAGATCGCAGGATGGAACATTTACAACAAAAAATGTATTTAGGTATCCAGTCGATGCTGTAGATTTGTGCTCTGTAATTACAGTGTCTAACTCTTTAGCAGAAGAAATTTATTTTGATCGGTTATTGAAAAGGTTAATGAAAGTAGTTATTAAAAATGCTGGTGCAAGTAGAGGTTTTTTATTATTAATTGAAGATAAAATAACAAAAGAACTATTCATAAATCCAAGTAATGGCAACCATACCCTATTAGGAGATTTAAGTGTTGCCGCATCTGCCTTGGTTTATAATGAAAAGGTATTAGTGGAGGTTTTTATAAACAATACATCCCAAACTCTATCAACTGCGCCATCTACCCCAATTATTAACTCATCATCATATAATTTGGCATCATCATCAACATCAACAACAAACACCAGTGGGAATTTAAATAAAAGTTCAAATAATATACCAAATTCAAATAATTCAAATAATTCAAATTCAAATGGATATTCAGGTAAATTAAATAATATTATAAGAAATGACTCATTAAATGAAGATGGTACTTGGAACATGTGTATTTCTATGATTAACTATGTAAGAAGAACACAAGCGCCCCTACTCATAACCAATGCAGTTGAAGACAACACATTTGCCGATGACTCATATATTAAAAAGAGAAATCCAAAGAGTATTTTAGTTTTACCAATTGTTTATCAAGGAAATTTGGTTTCAATTTTATATTTAGAAAATAATTTTGCTACTGGTGCTTTTACCCATGGGAGAATGGAAATTCTCAATCTTTTATCCTCGCAAATTGCAATTTCTTTTCAAAACGCAAGACTCTTTTTAAAATCAAATCATTTAGCAAACCAAGCATTTTTAGCAAAAGAAGATGCAGAAAAAGCCAATAAAGCAAAATCAGATTTCATTTCAAATATGTCACATGAAATGAGAACACCTCTTAACCATATTATTGGTGCAATAGAGTTGTTGAAAGGATTTCCATCCACTAATGATCAAAAAGAATTATTAGCAATTAGTCAGCAGTCATCCGAATCACTTTTATTTATGGTAAATAATATTTTAGATTTATCAAAAGTAGAGCAAGGAAAAACCAAATTAAATTTAACAAGTTTCAATATAGTCAATTTTTTAGAAGATATTATATGCGCTATATCACCAAATGCACATTCAAAAGGGTTATATATTGGTTTATTTATAAATCCATGTTTTTCAAAAATCCCTGTCAATGGTGATGTTAATATTTTACGTCAAATTATAGTGAACTTGTTAACAAATGCAATTAAATTTACAGAAAAAGGTGAAGTTTATTTAAAACTAAATCTATCACTAAATAACAATGTTGATAGATCACCAATAAATGAAGAAGAAGAAGAAGAAGAGGGTGATGAGTATGAAGAAATGCAAAATGAGGATACCATTAATCTAAAGAAAAGAAATAATAATAAAAGAAAAGGGTCACCATCTAACTATGTTATTAATATAGAGGTATCTGATAGCGGTATTGGAATTAAACAGAGTGACTTTGGTAAACTTTTTCAAAGATTTTCACAGATAGAAGTTGGTTCAAGTAGAGCATACGATGGAACAGGTTTGGGTCTTAGCATTTGCAAACAATTGGTAAATTTAATGAAAGGTGATATTGGTATTCGTAGTAAAATTGGTGAAGGTTCAGTATTTCATTTCACAGTCGAATTAAGTAAATCTTATGATGAAAGCATGTCAAATAAATATCATTTACCATCAGAACTTACCCAAAATACGAAAATAACAATTTTTGAAGAAAATAAAACTATATGCGACCAAATAAAAACCTTATGTAAATCCAATGGATTAAATGAAATCAATACAATCAACCAAAAGTTTTCATTAGAATTACTATCAGATTGTTTGGATACACTAAAACCAATTTCATCACCAAAGCTTCAATCTTCATGCGGTGGGTCCTCATCAGCTACAATTTTATCACCTAAACTTCTATCACCTAAATTACTATCACCAAGAACTCCACTTTCAATTAATGGTTGCACGACTACAAATATGAACTCATTATCCCCAAAAAACCCTTCTCGCTCACCATCACCATCATTTTCATCAATTTCTCCATCTTTTTCTTCATCACCACCAAATAAAGAAATTATAATTATCGGATTACCATTAAATTTTACTGAAGAAAATATTTTGACTTTGGTCGAAAATACTAAAACAATCACATATTCAGCCTATATAAACAAGAAAGGAAATATTTCAATTGCATCAAATGTTAATAAATTTGAATTTGTTTTTGTTACCCATATTCTATTAAGCGTATCATCAAGAGAGATATTAAATCAAGCATCTATTCATATTGTCAATAGACCCATAAAAATGAAAGCTTTTCATAGAACATTAATGAAAATATTGGATAGTAATAGTAAAAGTCATAATAGTAGCTATATGTCATCTCCAAATATTAGCAATAATCTTCACACTTCAGTTAATGGTACCAATACTAATGGTTTAAATAATCCTGATGATAATCATAAACATCAACAATTTAAATTTCAAAAACAACTATCAGATAGTAATATTTGCTATACTAGCAGTAAGAAACTTATCCAAAACCATCAGCAACAGCAACAAACAAAGCAGCAAGAACAACCTCAAGAGCAGCAATATCAACAAAAAAAACAATTAAAACAAGAAACCCAAACAATTCCTGAAAGTGAATTTGAAAATAGTTTAGTTATTGGAAGTAGTTGTGCAACATCCAATACTACTACAACAACACTAACTAATGATACAGAGGTTACAATCATATCAAATAGTGCTGCTGGTGAAGAAAACAATAATACTAGTAGTAGTATTAGTATTAGTAGTAGTATTGTTTGTAGTAGTAGTAATAATATTGTAATAGAACCAATCATAAAAGTGGTAGAAAAGATCTCACCATCAATATTAGTAGTTGAGGATAATGAATTAAATGCCAATATATTATTTAGAATGTTACAAAAACTAGGAATTAAAGATCCAGATTTAGCACTCAATGGTTTAGAGGGTGTAAAGAAAGCTAAAAACGAAGAGTATGATTTAATTCTAATGGATATTCAAATGCCAGTTATGGATGGTTATGAAGCTACAACTAAAATAAGAAAAGAAGAAGGAAATAAAAAACATACACCAATTATAGCAATGACAGCAAGTGCAATGAATGGACAAAAGGAGGCAATGCTTTCTGCTGGTTGTGACGATTTTTTCTCGAAGCCATTCACCCTCAAAGATTTGCAAGGTAAAATATTTAAATTTTTAAACTATACCCCTCCAACCATCCAGCCAAAATAAAAAATAAAAATAGAAACCAATCTCGATGTTATAACAATAGCAATAATAATTTTATTTGCATTTTATTTTAGTGTATATTCCCCCTTTTTGGAAATTTCTTTTTTTTTTTATTTATTTATTTTTTTTTTTTTTTTTTATAAATTAAAAAATAAAAAATTTAAAAAAATTATTATTTTTTTTATTATTTTTTTAAATTATTTTTTTTCGTGTTGACTATCCATTGTTTCATTATAAACAACAATCCCAAAATAAAATAAAAATAAAGATAAATAAAACTAAACCGATAATCATTTAATTTTTTATTTGTTTCAGTTTGTAAAATTATATTATTTTTTTTTTCTTTATTTTTTTTTTTAAATTTTTCATAAATAAATATGTTTGTTTTACAAATTCATAGTGTTACATTTTATAATTCATCAACACAAACTAAACCAAGAAATGTATTTTTAGATATATCAAATGAAAACCAACCTTCAAGAAGATATTTTGTAGGAAGATTTTCGACATCATCGACTAAATCATGCGAATCGATTATTCATATTTCAAGGACTCCTATAACAGTACATTTATCCTATGGTCCTCTAATGTATCATGACTTGGGTCCCCAAACAATATACGATTTTTTATATGATGATAAAAAGAATTTGGGTCAAAAAAAAGTAATTATAAATTCACTTATATTAATTATTATTTAATAAAAACATAATACTAATAAATTTAAACATTTTAGTTTTTAACATTTGGAAGAAGAGGACCTTTATATCATGTTTGTTATTCAATTACACCAGTTAAATATTCATATAGCTTCTCTTTAAGTAGAATAAGTTGCTTAAAACAAATAACTTCTTATAAAGACGAATTATATGCCGAAGTAGAGTTTAATCATAGTACTCAAAGTATAGGGCCTGGTCCAACCAATAGATATCACCTGGGTAGTTTTGTATCACACGATGTTACTGAAATTCATTCTGTTCATAATTGTAAATATCATTTAATACTATAAATATCATTTATAATAACTATTATTTATTTTCATTTTATTAATATGTTTCTTTTTTCAGTATCATTTTCAACATTGGTAAACTTTGTTTTAACTTTTTTTGTAAAAACATCAACAGCAGAATACATACTAGGAACATTAAAATTTACACCTATTTACGAAGTACCAAACTATAGTTCATCAACACTACCAATAAATAATAATAGTAATAATAAAACAAACAATAATGAAAAAATTTTATCTAGTAATAATACAAATAGTTTTTTAATACCTAAAGATTTTAAAATTACAAACGAGTCATCAACTAATTGGATTATAAAATCAAATGATATCAACGATAACAAGAATAGAGATAAACAAAATATGGGCGGTTTATATTGTTATAGAAATTCAGATGACAACGTGCATACATTTTTACAAAATGAATCAAGTATAACAAAAAAAATTACATTAACATCACCAGAAGGCAAAGGTTCATATGAATTTGTTTTTAATTTATCCAAAACAGATTTTATGATGATTCATTCAACATTAGATAATCAAAACCAAACCTTGAACTATGATGCTGAAAATATTGATTTCAACCATAAACATTCACAACAACAATCTCAAAAACACCAAATTTTCAGCCAAAAGCAACAACAACAACTACAGCAACCACCACAACAACAAAATCCATCAACTTTAAAATTTAATAATAAAAATGAAGTTTCTGATAATCAAAACAACAATAATAATAACAATAATAATAATAACAATGCAAATGAAGTAACAACAAACACTTTTAATATTCAAACTGAAGGCAATCAAGTTGAAGTTTTAATCGATGGTTTACAAACATTTAGAAGGTATTTTGAAATTATGATGAATGCAGAACATAGTATCAGTATTTTAGCTTGGGAATTAACCTTTTCATTTGGTTTAGTTTTAACCAAAAATGTCGAATCTCAACTTCCTCTTCACGTTGACCCAATGTCGAAATGGATTACTTTAGAAGATGTTTTAATTTCAAAAAGCATTGGATGGCGTAGATGTTAGAATTATAGTTTGGAGACACGAATTACTATCGCATTTGACTAGATTCCTTTATCTTGGTGAAGTTACGATCGAAAGAGAAGTATCAAAATTAGAAAAAAGATGTAATCGTTTAGGTGTAACTTGTAATGTATTTCATACCCATAATATGCCTGGTTTAGATTCAGAATTTGCAAATATCGATAATCCTAGTTTGCACTATAACGCAAAAAATCAACATCATAAACATAAAAATAATAATCACCATCATAAACAAGGAAATCAAAATAATAATAACAATAGTAATAACAATAAAAATAATAGTAAAGAAAAACAACATACACCAAGTATTACAGTTGTAATTGTCGGTAATCCTCAAGGTATTTTATCATCTCATCATGAAAAACTTTTATTGGTCGATCCTGAATGTCCTGATCATTGCGTTGCTTTTACAGGTGGTTTTGATATAGCCAGAGGAAGATATGACCAACCATTACATCAAATACCCAAACCATATATACCACACATTAACAAACCCACATCACCACCGTCACCACCAGCAAATAGTAATTATCATAAACTAGTGCAAATCAATGCAAATAAACAACAACCACAACAACAACAGCCACAACAACACCAACAGCAAAATGAACAAAATGAACAAGAATTGGAACCAAATAAACAACCAATAAGATATACAGGTAGAAACGTTCAACCAATTTTAAGACAAATTAGATTTCTATGGCACGATATTCAAATTCTATTAAGAGGACCAAGCACCCAACATTTAAGACTACACTTTTTCCAAAGATGGATCCATGCTTTTTCTCAAAATGTTTCGATTACAAGAACAGCCTCATTAGAGGTTTTCCCAAGCTCAATAACCTGCACCAAAAAACATAAACCTGCAAACTCTGTTAAAGTAGCCCATAATGACCCAGCCAAAGTATACACTCAGTGCTCTGTAAGATTATTTAGAACATGGAAAGGTGTTTTAGATAACAATATGATGTTTGACGAATATGGTAAAATGATATTAAATGCAAAAGAGTTTCTTTATATCGAACACCAGTACCCATTCCAAAATTTTACACTCACCTATTATATGTGCGAAGCATTAAAAGCAAATCCAAATCTCCATCTTTTAATTGTAACTCCAGTCAAAACCGATTTACCAAGTGGCTTAGTAGGAGAACTTTTCGATTGGTCTCAAGATCATATTATCAAACATCTTCATTTAATTCACAGTATTGCACCCGATAGAGTTGGTATTTATGGTTTGGTCCGTCAAGATGAAGAAACCAATCGTTTGAAACCCATATATATCCATTCAAAACTTTTCATCGTTGACGATTTAATATTTAACGTTGGAAGTACCAATATGGATAATATGAGTTTTTTCCATTCAAGCGAATTATGTGCATCAATCATCGAACCAAGATTAGCAAAAGAGACCCGTATCAAATTAGCAAAAGAACATTTAGGTAATCATTATAGACCCAGTATGGACAATAATTTTATAGATATGTTTAATATGTTTAGAAAAGTTTCAGAAGAAAATTATGAACGTCTTCGTTATAAACGTTTATTAATAGGTAGACCCATCTCTTTGACACCAGTCGACAAATACGAATTTATTTTAAAGAAAATTTACTATCCAAACAAATTTACAAAACTATTATTCAAAATGGGTTTAGATACCGAAGAATGGTTGAATAAAATGTTTAACCCAAGTTCTTGGATGAACTTATTTAAACCAAAATTATAAATAAAAATAAAAAAGTATAATAATAATAAAAATAAAAAAATAAAATAAGAATAAAAATAAAAAAAATTTACTCAATA